GAACCCGGGCCGCACACATGCCAGGCGAGCGCGCTACCGCTTGAGCCACATCCCCAGCCCCAAGTGTACCCTTTTCCCCGCATCCTCTCCAGCACTTGTTGTTGTTGGACTTCATGATGGCTGCCAATCTTAGGGCCTCACAATCCTCCTGAGCCATTGGGATTACAGTGGGCACCACCATGTCCAGCAAAAGCGGTCTTTTTAATGACCAAATCAGTCCACTAAATTCAGGTGGACCAGCTTGTCACATCACACCACAGAGCTTTCAGTTGTATCCCGATCTGGCCCAAGATTTGATTTTCTTACAATGACAATTGTAATGCTTCTAAACATTTGCATAGCACCTGGGAAAATATATAAACACTGAATGGGGAACACACAATGGCTGTGAATATTGCTGAATTATTAATTGGAACATATGGATCTGGCAATGACTTGGCCAAGGTCATTAATTAAACCAGAATATCTATGCTAGATACTTCACAGGGCTTAATTCAACTGAGAGAATAACTATGAGAAATGTTGGTAAATTTTAAAGCATGCTACTATTAATACTGCTGATTTTTAAAATATAGACATCATAAAGCAACACATATATACTATTACAGTAGAAAGGGGGATAATTATGTTTGGAAGGGAAAAAAATCAGAAAAGCACCCTTGGAGAAGGTGGAATCTTAAAGTCTTTGGTACTGCATAGAATTGCATAAATGGTAACAGAGGAAAAGACATTGTAATACTGACCTACTCCGCCGCAGCAGTGGGCCAGGATGCAATGGAGGGCCTCACTGTGCCTACAGGCAGGAGTAAATGACAGGCTGCGTGCATAGTGCACAGGAGGCTTTCTTGAGGTGTTTTATGAGCACATTACTTTACAACCAAGGTGACTCTCTTCAGATTCTCTCCCAAGGACTGGAGATAAGAGGAATGGCCAGTTCCCCCTCCCCATTTCCCTCATTACCACATTCCTTTAGAGAACTTATCTCACTGCAAGTTTTCCCAGAAACTGGTTCATGTTTAACCCAACAATAAGGAAAGATTAGATTAATAGTGCTTTTGACCTAGAAATGCACAAAGTGAGGAACCAATGACACTACTGTTACTGGTGACTGGTAGCCACCTATTCTGGGCCCTGAGCATGGAGTCACACTGTGGGGCACAGGCACTGTTAGTTCTTTGACGATTTGATCTGAACCTCAAATTTATGCCCCGCCTCCAATTCATAGCACCTTTAAAAAAATTTTTTTTTAGTTGTAGATGGACACAATACCTTTCTTTTATTTCTTATGTGGTGCTAAAGATCAAACCCAGTGTCTTACATATGCCAGGCAAGCGTTCTACGCTGAGCCAAAACTCCAGCCCCTAAATGGTGAGATCTGGAGACCAAGAGAGATCCCAAAATGAAAGGAGACATGGAACTCTTCCCCAGGCTCCTCTTGAAGCTTTACTTCTCAGGTCATACAAACAAGCAACCACTTGACTAAACCAAAGAACTTTCTGATGCATTTCACTCCCAGGAATTGAAATCATCTTAGATTCCTTCCTGACTTATATTTTCATGATCCGTAACGGCGTCCTCTGCAGTCTTCTGTCAGATCAATGATTGTCTACGATCAGGTCCACTCTGTGCATCCTTCAGGAATCTCTCTATAATCCTAACTCTCCTTGTGTAAAGGTCTGGCGAATCGTCGGAGGGAGAGACCACACAAGAGACTTACTCCATGCAATTGGCAAAAGAGGATTTATTGGGGATCCATTCCAGCACGCTGGGACTCTGTGCTCACTCAAGAAGGGAGAGCAGCCCAGAGCCCAGAGCAAAGGTCAAGCAGAGCTTAAGTACACTTTTTGGAGAGGGCGGTGGGCTTTGCATACATCAGAACAAATCATCATGAGGCGCGGGGAAATTGAACAACAACTCTGAGACGTGATTGGCAAATTCATTGGCAGGGGTGATTGGTCATTCCTAAGCGGGGTACACACGGGGGATTGGCTCCCCGCCCTGTGACAAACTGCACAGGGCCCTAGGCTAAATGGCTAGTAGGGTGTTGTCTTAACTATCTCAGGAATCTGGGTGTAACAGAGGAACTCAATAATACCTAATCTTTTACATTTTAATTCAAGCCTTCCAGCTTAGAAACTTTACCCTTTCACTTGGTTTCTAGATTTGTCAATATTAATAATGTATGACACAGTAAAGTCCATCAGTAAAAAACAATTTATTAAATAAGAATTTCAAAGGTAGAAGCAATAATTTTAAAAATATTTAACGAATGTTAAATTAATGTTAAACAAAAACACTCAATAGAAAGATTTTTCTTCCAGAAGATGGAAACCCTAAGGCTAAACTCTGTCATCATATATACAATTAATCACTCTGAGGTATCTTTATACAAAAAGGGAAAATTTAATAATGTCCCCAAACAAAGAGGTAAACAAACAGAATAATTGAAAATAGGGACTATACCTTTTTTTTGTGAGTGTGATACTGAGGATGGGGAGATTGAACCCCAGGGGACTATACCACTGAGCCACACCCCCAGCCTTTTTTATTTTGAGATAGGGTCTTGATAAGCTGCCCAGGCTGGCCTTGAACTTGGGATTCTCCTGCCTCAGCCTTCCAAGTTGCTGGGGTTATAGGCATGCATCACTGTGCCCAACTTGCAGATATAATTCTTATGACTGAATCTATAAATCAAATTAGTTTTGAAATTTTAAACTTAAAAATGTAAAGCTTAGATCCAAAATTTAATCCATCTTTAAAGTTGGTAAAAAAAATCTTGTCAATTTTTTTTTTGGGGGGGTCGGGTACCAGGGATTGAACTCTGGGGCACTTGACCACTGAGCCGCTTCCCAATTTCCCAAGTTGCACCACCGCGCCCGGCCTCAAACTCTTTATCTAGGTCATACAAAATGAATTTATCATACTTATAAATTTAGACTTTCCAAAGTTTGGAGCACATCTGTACTGGAAAAAAGGTAGTGTTGAATTTTGTATGGCAATAGAATTGTATGTTAAAAGATTAAAAGTCATTTTCACAGTTTAACCAAACACGGCCTTTAGAGCAAAGCTAAATTATGAATCTTAGACACGAGCCAAGAGACACTGTCCAGATATCAAAAAGCAAGGAAAACAGCATTTTATCCTCTTTGAAAATCATCCAAAATGTTACAGAGACTTTCATGTTCTCTTGACGGGAGATCAATGATGTAGGACAAATTAAGGAAGATACACTAAACACAGTATGAAATTGCACAAAAACATTCATGACATTATTTCACATTTTGTGATTTGGTTTACTACAAAGAAATGTCAAGATCTTATGGTATTCTATGGATACTTATACACTGAGGCAATAAGATTTATATATTTTAATCTAAGACTGTAATATAAGTCAAGGGATGTAGTCAATGGTAGAGTCATTGCCTAACATGCATGAAGCCCAAGTTCAATCGTCAGGAACAAATAATATCCATAAAGTAAAAAATAATGGAATGTGCTGGGCATAGTGGCACATGCCTGTAATCCCAGTGGTTTGGAGGCTGAGGCAGGAGGGTGGTGGGTTCAAAGCCAGCCTCAGCAACAGCGAGGTACTAAGCAATGCTGAAGATTGAACCCAGGGCCTCACGCTTCCGAGGCAAGTACTCTGAGTGGCAACTGAGCTACAACCCCAGCCCTCTACCCTCCCTTGGCCCTTTTTTTCTTTTTGGTACTAGGGATTAACCACTGAACCACATCCCAGCCCTTTTTATTTCTTGTTTTAAGACAAGGGCCTTGCTAAGTTGCTGAGTCTGGCCTTAACTTGCAATCCTCCTGTCTTAGCCTCCCTAGTTGCCAGGATTACAGCTGTGTGCCACCACACCTGGCTCAGTTTTTTAATGTAATATTTTACCTTGGTTTGAAAACAAAGTTATAAATTTAGAGCTGCAGAACCAGAGGGATAACCCATTTTCCTGTACCTGCGATTTGTAGGACAATGGATCACATTCCTTTTTTCTCTTCCTCAGTTCAGAAACTAATCTTCTCCATCAACTCATTACTTCACTACTGGCTTACATGACTTCCTGAAAATTGTTCTCTTTCCTTTGCTGAATCAGATCTTTGAAATATGCCCATGGATAACGTAAGACTCTGAATCTTAATTTATATAAGGACATAAAGTACTCATAGTAGCACAATTGAGTGTGACCATATACGTAATAAAAAGGATATTAATTTTTCTGTGTTTAGATAACAAAATAACTTCTCCAAAGGAGGATAGCGCTTCAGTGAGGACACGCAGCCCAGGAGAATCAGTTTATGTTTGGCTCTGGTGATAGCAACATTGAGACGTCGCCAATCTTTCAAGAGTTCACCAAGCTGTAAAATAAATAATTTTAGATTCTTTGAGTTTTCTTACACTGTATGTTTGAGTTTGTTTTGACACAGAACTTGTCTTATCGTGAAGTATTTCTCTACTTTTAAAACATGAATTATAAAAAAGATTTATCAACACAATTACAATTCTAGGCAGCTAGAAAAACTTGCCAACCTCAAATATTTTATGTGTGATATCCTAGGCACATTTTTTAATTATTAATTACAAGTAACAAAAAGGACTAAAGCTATCTCCATTCACTGTAGCAATGTTTATAATAGTAATTAAAATTGTGAAAATAGAGGAGTAAATACAACATGTCTATACACTGGCAACTATGAAACTGAAAATAAATAAATAAACAAACAAATAAATAAATTAAACCCCTCCTTTGTGTACTCACATGGAAAGATTTCTAACATATTTTAAGTCAAAAAAGCAAAGTCTGGAATATTATCTAGAAGACTGCAAAAATAACTAAAAAGATGTGAGTATCTCTAATATAAGAACTGAGTAGATGAGCAGTAGAGGAGGAAGGAGATTTTATACATATTTTAAAGACCATAGTAGTCAAGAAAAATAAAGGGGTAAAAATGCAAACAAAAACAAAATAAAATAAAATCTGTAATTATCTTTAATGTCAAAGTGTATAAGGAAGGCTCTGTGTTTAAAATACCTAGCCATGTGTGGTGGCACTCCCAGAAACTTGGGAGGCGGAGACAAGACCATTGTAAGTTCTAGGCCAGCCTGAACAACCTAGTGAGATCCTGTCTCAAAATAAAAAACAAAAGGCGAGGATAGCTTGATAGTCAAGTGCCACTGGTTCAATGCCCAATGCCCCAAACAAACAAACAACCACCACAACAAAAAAACCCCACAAAACCTCAAACACAATATCCGAGAGGTGAAAGCAACCCAAATGTCCATCCACGGATAAATAAAACATGGTATGTATAGACAAGGGAACACTTAAAAAAGAAAAAAAATACTGACATATGCTACAACATGGATGAACACAAGAGAAATAAGCTAATCACAAAAAGACAAATACTGTTTGATTTCATTTATACCTGGAAAAGTCAAAGTCAGAGACAGAGAGCAGAATGGTGGTTATAGGACTGAAGTGGGACATAATGGAGAGTTTTTCATGAGTACAGAATTTTAGATCTGCAAAATGTAAAAGTTCTAGAATCTCTTGAACAACAACATGAATATACTTAAGTCTACTGAATTGTGTACCTAAAAATGGTTAAAATGGAGCCAGAACAGTGGCATAAACCTGTGGTCCCAGCTACTCAAGAGACAGAGGCAGGAAGGTCACAACTTTAAGGCCAGCTTGGGCAAAGTAGCAAGATCTTGTTTTAAAATATAAAATGAAAAGGGAACTTGGGCACTGTGGTTGTATACCCCCAGGGGATTACAGTCAGGAGGACTGCAAATTCAAGGGTAGCCTCAGCAATTGAGCAAGACCACAAACTGAGTGAGGCCCTAAGCAACTTATGGAAACCCTGTCTCAAAATTTAAAAAACAAATAGAAAGGGCTGGGGATGCAGCTCATCGGTAAAACATGCCTGACTTTAATTAATCCCCAGCATTGCTCCTCTCCAAAAAAGATTAAAATGGTAAATTTCATTTTTCTTTTTTTATTTTTAACCACAATTTTAAAAAGAGAGTGCTAGAGGTATAGCTCAGTGGTAGAAGACTTGCCTAGCACACACAAGGCCCTGGACCCCAAATGAAAAAAATGACAGAAAGAGAGAGAAGACAGAGACTATGACTGATTCTCGAACGAGTCAGTGGCAAATACAATCAACTTACGGTTCCATCCTTATTACTTCTAACAAAAGACACTAGGATGATTCTTTTGTCTCTTCCTTGGTATTTATCTACTGTATTAACTTCGACCATCTTAACAGAAGAATGTTCCAACAAATCATTGATGATCTTTAATTGCTGTCTATATGGTGCAATGATACCAATATCAGAGGGATTACATCCAGCCTAAACAGAAAAGGACAGTTTTAAATGAAGAATCCCGACTTTCATTCCTTCGATTTTGAGAGATTTATGAAGGATGATGGATAATGGCTTATGGGCCACTAAAAAGTGCTACCCCACAAAAGAAGAGCACACAGAAAACCCGTCCCCATGTAAAAGTTCCCAGTGCCCAATCACATTAATTACAGCAACAGAGTGATACGATTAGAGTGACAAAACCATCCTAGATGGAAAACCCAAATGTTCTTATTAAAAAACACATCTTGAATTAATTTTCTCCAAATGAAGCAAAAACAATGGGGCTTCAGTCCTTCTATGTTAACAAGAATTAAAACCAGATCTTAAATTTCCTACAGCCTAATAGTAGTTCATTACTCTGCTCCTTAATATTGATTAGCCTTAAAAATTCTAAATTACCTTAATAAACATTGAGGTCAGAAAAACTATGAGTTTGGCTTCTGTTACGTTGCTCACACCACCTTTGTCAACTTGTTCTGGTGCTGGAACCTAAGTTAAAAAAAATACGTAGTTCACTTATAATACAGTCTCTAAAGTTCAGAGTACTTAAGTGTGCAGGTAGCTTAGAAGCTCCACTGCTATGGTTTGGAGACAGGAGAAATATTGTTGAAGGTGAAAAAAAAAAATCAATAGAAATGAATATGAGCACTTTTAAAAAGGAACATGAGGGCAACTCAACTTAAACATGCTGTGCAGTTCAGACTAAAATCTCTAGGAAAGCTGACCTTACGCTGGGCTTCACGTAATTCACTCTATTACCCTACCTTTTATAGGAATCAAAGGCAGACTAACAAGTAATTTTCCCAGGGCCTCACAACAGATCCTGACACAAGACTCAAACTTAGACCTGGTTGTAGTATCAGTTTTTACATTTTCTTGTCTCCTTATATACAAATAATGGGAAAAATAAGGGTGCTAGGCTTTGCCAAACCTGATATAACTCTCTAAGGAATACTTTACATCATCCACATTATTTACCTACATTATCCCTATGCAACCTTGATTATTTTTTTCATCTCTTAAAAAATATTATTTTAGTTGCAGATGGACATAATACCTTTATTTTGTTTATTTATTTTTATGTGGTGCTGAATAAAGAACCCAGTACCTCACACGTGCAAGCCAAGTGCTCTACCACTGAGCCCCAGCCCCTGCCCCCATCTCATTTTTTTATTTTTAAATTTTTGGTACTGGGGATTGAATCAAGAGGTACTTAATCATGGAGGCACATCCCCAACTCTTTTCATTTTTTATTTTGAATCAGGGTATCACTAAGTTGCTGAGAACCTCATTAAGTTGCTGAGGCTGGCTAGGAACAATCTGACTTAATAACAAGACAAGTATTATTTTGGGGGTGCTGGGGATTAAATCCAGGATCCCACACATGCTGAAATAGTATTGTATCACTGAGCCACACCCTGGCCCAAAAGACAATTATTTTAGAGGAGTATGCATATACATAAATGGTCACTACACTTTTATTTGAACTTCCAACTCAATGTTGAGAAGCATTATATAAAACAAGGTAGGTAGACATATAGCTCAGCAGCAGAGCACTTGCCCAGCACCTGGTTCCAATCACCAACATTGCAAAAATAAATAAATAAGTGAATAAATAAAACAAGCCAGGTGTGGCGGCACACACCTGTAATCCTAGCAGCTCAGGAAGCTGATGCAGGAGGATCAAAAGTTCAAAGACAGCCTTAGCAACTTAGTAAGGCCCTAAGCAACTTGGCAAAACCCTATCTCAAAATAAAAAGGGCTAGGGATGTGTTTTATTGGTTAAGTGCCTATGGGTTCAATCCTCTCCCACAAAATGATTAATTTTGACATCAACCCCCCAAATAAATCTCCTCCCCCAAATATTGGGCTATAGAAAGAAAAGACTCTTGTGTTGAAGTGGGAGAAGTACATATCAGTTTTGCCTTTCTACTGATAAGGTCCAGTGAAACGTATACTAATAGAAACTGAGAAATTTAAATAACAGAACAAAAGCAGTAAAACCAAAAGAAAAAAATATTTTTTACCTTTTCTGTATTAAGAAAACAAACAGGATTATTTGGCTCAAATACTCCAATCAGCCAAGGATTATCAGAATAATCAGCATAGAATTCCAGTTCCAGCTTTACATCTTTAAAGTGAGGTAGGTTTATCACTGCATTGGCCACTTTGTCTGATCCACACTCCAGCTTTCCATCATAGGTCAGCTTATTACTTAGAGACATAATTTTACTAAGAGAATTGCAAAACACAAACTTAAGTTCTGGTATATGAAAATGTGTACATTAAAAAACATTTATTGCTGACACTGTTATAAATACCTGTTCATTCTGTACTGCACTGTTAACTGTACAACAGCATTTTGATTCTTCTCCAGCCTCTTGAATAAGCTTTCACTCATGCCAAGAGCACTGTCAAAAATAAATAAATAAATCAAATTCAGGCTTATCATTATTAATATTGTCCCTTAAAAAGAATCCAGTTTTTGGGCTGGGGATGTGGATCAAGCGGTAGCGCGCTCGCCTGGCATGCGTGCGGCCCGGGTTCGATCCTCAGCACCACATACAAACAAAGATGTTGTGTCCGCTGAAAACTGAAAAATAAATATTAAAAATTTTTTTAAAATGTTAAAAAAAAAAAAAAAGAATCCAGTTTTGGGGCTGGGATTGTGGCTCAGTGGTAGAGCGCTCACCTAGCATGTGCGAGGCCCTGGGTTCGATCCTCAGCATCACATAAAAATAAATGAAATAAAGGTAGTGTGTCCAACTACAACCAAAAAAACAAATATTAAAAAAAAAAAAAAAAAAAAAGAATTCAGTTTAAAATTAAAATTTAAAGCTGGGCATGATGTTGCACATCTGTAACCCCAGTAGCTCAGGAGGCTGAGGCAAGAGGTCTACAAGTTCAAAGGCTAACCTCAGCAAATCAGTGAGGCCCTCAGCAACTTAGCGAGACCCTGTCACTAAATAAAAATAAAAAGGGTTGGGGATGTGGCTCAGTGGTTAAATGCCCCTGGGTTCACACCCTGCACCCAGACACCAACAAATAAATAAGTAAATAAATAAATGAATTTAAAGATAGGCATGCTAGTGTGAGCCTATAGTCCTCAGGTACTTGGGAAGCCAAGGCCGGAGGAAGTTGAGCCCAGAAGTTAAGAGGCCAGCCTGGACAACCCAGAGAAAGCCTAACTCTATTACATCAAAATACAACAAAACTTAAATACCTGCCTACCTTGCTTCTGGGTTTAGCACCAGGGGAGGAAGCTGCTGATGATCCCCCACCAACACGAATCTCTGAGCAAAAAAAAGTGGCCCCAGGCAAACTGGTTGGCTAATTTGAGATGCTTCATCCACAATACAAAAATCAAAGGTTCTACGGGAAAATATTGGATGGCTTATTCCCATGCATGTTGTTGCAACTATAAGCTGAAAACAAATGAAGAAAATAGATTAGTCATTTAGTATATGAAAGAAATACAGTTTGGTTTTTCCCATTTTTGAAATTAAAAGATCAAAACCAATTTTTGGCCCCTAGTAGCAAGAATTCTCCAATATTATTTAATTCTGAAGCATTTATAGTATGTAAAAGTGGTTTTTAATTTTTTTCTACAAATAAAAAAAAATCAAGTAAAAATTTTCAGACATTATGAATAATGCTCAGGCTTAGTGTTTCTAAATGCAAATCTGAAACATTTAAGAGGCAAGAAGTTAGTAAATTTCTTTAAAAATGTCCACTAGGTTTCCTTATTCTTCCCACAAAGTACTTCTAAAAACCTAGACCAGAAATGTAGCTCAGTGAAAGGGCACCTGCCTCACGGGCGTAAGGCCCTATGTTTGATCCTCAGCACTGAAAATAAAAACAAAAGAAACAAACAGAGGGGGAAAAAAACCCCACAACCATAGCCCCAGCCCCCCTAGTGCCAAGAAAGGCTGAGTAGGCAGCCTAGACTGCAGCCCTCCATGCTGTAACAAGGCACCCTAGTAACCACTGGGTGGTACTGGAGGCCAAGCAGGGGATCAGGCCATAATTCTTCTCCGCAATGTCAATAGAGAGCACATGGGAAGCCAAAATCCCAAGACCACTCACCCCCAAAGTGTTCTGGGAAGTTTGGCTTCCCATGGAGGTGGGAGGTGGGGGGTGGGGGGTGAGGGATGGGGACGAGTGGGCAGGGAGACTGCACTTCCACTCCCACTGAAGTAATGAGGTGGCACAACTTCCTCTCCTACCAGAGCAGCACAGAGCAAGCCAACTCATACAGATCTCTTCAGTAACACAATGCCAACATGCTCAAGTTTCAATCAAAATGCACTCTTTATAAACTAGAACGAGGAAAATCTCAAACTAAATGAAAAAAATAGGTAGACTCAGCAAAGAAACAGACGATAAAAAGAACCAAATGGAAATTTTAGAACTTAAAATACAGTAAGTGAAGCCAGGCAGAGTGGTGCTCGCTTGTAATCTCAACAGCTTAGGAAGCTGAGGCAAGAGGATCTCAAGTTCAAAGACAGACTCAAAAACCTACTAAGACCCTCTCTTAAAATAGCACAGGGGTGAAGTGCCCTTGGGGTAAATCCAAGCAAGGAAGGAATTAATTAATTTACAGAATCACTGACCTGAGAGAATTCTCCACAAAATTTAAAAATGTCCACTACAAAACATATTATAATGAAAATTCTGAAAACTGAAGTGGAAATCAAATTTTCCACACTGAAGGAAAATGAAGAGAATTGGTTTCCAGTTTACCTATCATCCTAAAAGAATTGATAAAGTTAGTTCTCTAAACAGAAAGGATATAATAAAAAAGAAAATCAGGAACATCTAGAGGGAGCAAAACTATAGATAAAAACAACAGGCTTTTCAAATTTATGTTCAATTGTTGAAAGAAAACTTATAATTGTCTGATCTAGTTCTCAAATTAAATTAAGATAATTACATTATAAGCAGAAGAGGGAAGTAAAGGGTCTCCAACTTCATCTGAACTGGCAAAATGACACTAGATTATGATGTTATATAATATAATATAATGCCTTGAAAAAAATCACTGGAAGTTATTCAAAGAGATACTCCCCAAAATACTATAGATCAAGACGGGCTTGGTGGTGCACTCCTATAATCCCAGCGGCTTGGGAGGCTGAGGCAGGAGGATCACAAGTGCAAAGCCAGCCTCAGCAAAAGCAAGGCACTAAGCAACTCAGTGAGACCCTGTCTCTAAACAAAATACAAAATAGTGCTGGGGATGTGGCTCAGTGGTCAAGTGCCCCTGAGTTGTTTAATCCCCAGTACAAAAAAAAAAAAAAAAACTATAGATCAGGGCTAGGGATGTAGCTTAGTAGTAGAGCACTTGCCTTACATGTGCAAAGCCCTGGGTTCAACGCTAGTACTACAGGAAAAAACCCATAAAACAAAGATTAAAACATAAATAAATAAATAAGTCTGAAAGGTTACTGGTTTGTTTTTTTGGTGAGTTTAAAAGTGGCCTAGGGAGGACTGGGCTCAGTGGTAGAGCATTTGCCTAGCATACAAAAAGCCCTAGACTCAATCCCCAGGACTGGGGGGAAAACAAACTACAGCTACATCAAAATGAAAATGGGGCAGGGCACAGTGGTGGAAGCCTGAAATCAAGCCAGCCTCAGCAATTTAATTGGCGGTAGCAACTTAGTGAGACCCTGCCTCCAAATAAAAATTTTAAAAAGGTCTAGAGATGGGCTGGGGATGTGGCTCAAGTGGTAGCGCGCTCGCCTAGCGTGCATAAGGCACTGGGTTCGATTCTCAGCACCACATATAAATAAATAAATAAATAAATAAATAAAGGTCTATCAACAACTGAAAAATATATTTTTTAAAATGTATCTTAAGGGGCTGGGATTGTGGCTCAACGGTAGAGCGCTCGCCTAGCATGGGCGGGATCCAGGTTCGATCCTCAGCACCACATAAAAAATAAAAGGCATTGTGCTGTGTCCATCTACACCTAAAAAATAAATATATATTTTAAAAAAAAGTATCCTAAAAAAAAAAAGAGTGAGAGATAACTGGCAGAATGGAGGATTGAGAGTTTAAAGCCAGTCCCAGCAATTTATCAAGTCCCTTAACTTAGCAAGATCCTGTCTCAAAATGAAAAAATAAAAAGGCTGGGGGTGTGGCTCAGTGGTTAAGTGCCCCTGGATTTAATTCCTGGTCCAAAAAAGAAAGGGAGAGAAAGCGAGATTGGCAAAACATGACTTACCTATCTACAAAAGACTCACTTCAAAACAATAATACAGGCATGTTAACAGCAAATGGATGTATAACTAATTAGAATAAATTTTAAAATTAAAAAAAAAGAGCCAATGGATGGGAATGGGGTTCAGTAGTAAAATATTTAACTAGCATAAGCAATGCCTTGTATCCAATCTCCATCAACACACACACAAAAAAAGGAATCAAATAAATGGAGTATTAAACTTGATTTTCATATGTAGAACAATCCTTGCATTATGAGAATATAACTTTCTCGGTTATGGTATATTATGCTCTAAGTACGCTGCTGAATTCAGTGGGATAGTATTTTGTTGGGCACTTTTTCATCACATAAAAATGCCCACAGGTGCAAAAATAATTCAATGGAGGAATGGTGGTCATTTAACAAGTGGTACTGGAATAACTGGAAAATCATAGGCCAAAAAAATTAACTTCAACCTAAATCTCACACCGTACAGCACAAATTAAACTCAAAATGGCCACAGACTTAAATGTTAAAGATAAAACTTAGGAAAAAATTAGGATACTGCCCTCACCTCTAGATTAGACTAAGAGTTCTTAGATTCAGTACCAAAAACACAATCCATAGAAGGAATACATTTATATACTGGGCTTTATAAAAATTATTTAGTTCTGCAAAAGACCCTGTAAAGAGGAAGAAAAGACAAGCTACCATCATTTGCAAACCACATATCCAATAAAGGACTCGTATCTAGAATATATTTAAAGAACTCTCAAAACTCAACAGTAGAAAACTAAATTATCCAAAATGGATAAAAGATATGAAGAGATATTTCACTTAAGAGGGTAAATATGAATGACAAGCACATGAAAATATCATTAGTGACTGGGGAAATGCTAATTAATAGCCATTTGATCCAGCAATTCCACTACAAGGTAGATATCCAAAGGAAATCAAATCATATATTGAAGAGACCTCTGCTCTCCCATGTTTACTATAGCACTATTCACAATAGCCAAGAAATATAAACAACCTAAGTACCCACTGACTGATGAATGTATAAAGAAGATGTAGTACATACACACAAAGTAACACAGTGTTCAACAACATGCATGGACCTGGAGGTCATTATGTTAAGTACCAGGCACAGAAAGATCTTTAGCATATGACCTTACTCATTATTTGTGATCTAAAATAGCTGATCTCAGAAGTTTTAAGTAGAATGTTGGTTACTAGATGTTGGGGAGAGTAGAGGGGAAGGAGAGATGGGGAGAGGCTGATCCATAGGTATAAGGTAAAGTTAGATGCCAGCAAGAAGTTCTGGCGTGTCAGTGCACAGTAGGGTAACTATGGATAAAATCTCCAAGTGAGGATTTGGAATGTTTTGACCATAAAGATGTGATAAATGAAGAGAAAAATGTTGTCCTTATTTGAACATTAGAGAATGCATACATATATCAAAACATCTTCTATAAATAAGCATGACTTTCTTGTATCAGTTCCCTCCCTCAATCTCCCCTACCCCCAGTATCAGGGCATTTAACCACTGAGCCACACCTCAGCCCTTTTTAATTTGAGACAGGGTCTCACGAAGTTACTTAGCGCTGAGTTGCTGAGGTTACATTGAACTTGCAATCCTCCTGCCTCAGCCTCCTGAACCATTGGGATTGCACCACTGTGCCCAGCCTCGTATATCAATTTTAAATAAATAAAATCATAATGAGATATCACTATATACCTATCAGGATGACTAAAACAAAAAATTGTACCACCACCAAAGGCTGACAAGGACCACACATACGTTGCTGGTGGAAATGTAAAATGTTCCCGATGCTATAAAAAGTAATTTGGTAGATTTTTCTTTTTAATATAAACATGCAGGGGTGGGGACGTAGCAAAGGGGCCAAGTGCTGGCCTAGCACGCACCAAGCCTTGGATTCAATTCCCAGTTCAACAAGAACTACCCTCCAAAAAGCAGGCAGCTATCAAATGACGCAGAAATTGCACTCCCAGGAATTTATAGCAGAGAAACATTTTGGAACAATACTCAAATAAAAAGAAACAAACAATCTGCAGAGCAATCGAGGTGGATATCCAGATAATAGGCAGAATAAAAAATGCCAACTCCAAAAAGTATGACTTCCTTATTGTAACATTCTTTTCTTTTTTAAAATTAATTAATTTTTTATTTTACAGTGCAATGCATTTTGACATATTGAACACAAACGGAGCACAACTTCTCATTCCTCTGGCTGTACGTGGTGCAGAGTTACTCTAGTAGTGTAATCATACGTGTACATAGGGTAATAATGTCTGTCCTTCCCATCCCCAAAGCCCCACCCCTCCCCTCACTCCCCTCTACACAAACTAAAGTTCTTCATTATTCCCTATCCACACCCCACCTTGGATCAGCATCCACTTATCAGAGAAAACTTATTAGTTGTTGATGAACCTTTATTTTATTTATTTATTTATATGCAGTACTGAAAATCGAAGCCAGTGCTTCACACATGCTAGGCAAGCACTCTACATGGAGCCATGAGCCTAGCCCATAGTATAATATTCTTAAATGACAAAAATATAGAAATGAAGAATACATTAGTGGTTGTTAGGGTTAGGGAGAATTGGGCAGGAGAGAAAAGAACATGAGGAATCCTTATGGTGATAGAGCATAGACTGTATCCATGGCAAGATGGCAAGAATGTAATTATAGGGGCTAGGGTTGTAGCTCAATGGAAGAACGCTTACCTACCATGTGTGATGCACTAGGTTCAATTCTCAGCACCACATACAAATAAATAAAATAAAGTTATATCAACAACTAAAAAAAAAAAAGAACCTACCTAGTTATACACTACAGAACTGCAAGATGTTACCAATGGATAGATGGAACACTGCCGCTGTCTGGCTGGGCAAAATAACCAGGAGGTGACAAGCAACTTGAAGGTTGAAGCGGGAATTGCTTTATTGTGGGGAAACTCAGCGGGAACTGAGCAGGAACTCAAGGTAGTGGGTACTCAAGGTAATGGGCACCCAAGATAGCGGGAGCCGCTTTATTGCAAAACAGCAGAGGTATATATACCTAACTGATTACACACAGTTTGACTCAATTAGCATCATCCAGTTACAGAATCAGCCAATAAGGAATTCCTACCATCTTAATGGCTCGGTGGCATTGCCTCACAAACCACTCCTCCTGGCAAACTGCCAGGCACCATCTTGACTTGATTTGCGGTCCACAACAGAATACAGTATCCATTATTTCTTGCAACTATATGTGAATCAATAATCACCTCAAAATGCAAAGTTTGTTTTATTGTAGTGCTGTGATTAAACCCAGGGCCTCACCAATGCCAATGGTGGCAAGACCTCAACCACCCAGCTACAGCCCCAGCTCTCAAAATACAAACTTTAACTTAAAAAGTCAACCAGGAGGTCTGGGGATATAGCTTAGTGGTAGAGCACTTCTCTACCATTAGCAATGGTTGAGGCCTTGGGTTAAATTTCCAGCAAAATACACACGCGCACACACACACACACACACACACACAAAGTCAATCAGACTTTTTCATCTTAAATCACTTCAAAATTCATCAGTAATTTCAATAATTGCTATAGATTTAGGCAAAACTGTATTAATACTGGACAAAGGATTTGAATGAAGAGCCTATTAAATCCAATCTAAAGACAAAATTAAACTAGGAATTGATTTTCTTTTCTTTTCTTTTCTTTTTTTTTTTGGTACTGGGAAACACTCTACCTCCGAGCCATATCCTAGCTGTTTTATTTTGAGATGAAGTTTCACTAAGTTGCTAAGGCTGGCCTCCACATCTGGCTAATTTTAGTTGATTTTTAAAGACAAAAATATCAATGAAAACTTCCCACTAAAAATAGAGATTAAATAATAAAATAAAAATTAGGAAAAATAAAATAAAGAAAAATAAAAATTAGGTTCTATACCAAAGTCTCTAAATACTTATCATAAGACTTAGGTATCAAGACTTCTAATTCAAATTCACTAAAACATCCTGATTATTACTCATTTTCTAGAAGGAAGCATTCATGAGGAATAATCAAAAATCTCATTCCAGTTTTGTAGGAAACAATGAGCTACACATTAATATACTTTCCCTGAGATACATATATAAATTAATCACATGTAAATCTGGTCAATGTGACTTAATTTCCCAGAGATCATTTCTCCTTCATTCTAGCCACAGTAATTACTATCAGCATTATACAGTAATTGTACTTACTTGACAGTTGTAAAGTTCTTTTAGAAGAGCTAAGGATTTAATGGACTTAGATCGGCAAATTTCTTCTTCTGTAAATTTCCGGATATCTGGATGAACCTTTTGAGTCTGACCCAAACGCAAAAATCCTATTTGAAACTTGGCTAACTTCAAAAGTATATTGTCAACAGCAGAATGTGTATAGCTGGTTAACAAAACACTAAAACCACAGGCATAGAGGATTCTTACCTAATAAAGGATAAGAAAGAAAATAAGCATTACTTTTACATTTCAGGTAATTTTTTAAAAATATTTATTTTTTTAGTTGTAGGTGGACACAACATCTTTATTTTATTTATTTTTATGTGGTGTTGAGGATCGAACCCAAGGCCTCACACGTGCTAGGCAAGTACACTACCACTGAGCCATAAGCCCGGCCCCCATTTCAAGTAATTTTTAACATGCTTATATTTTTTACATAGAACTACAAAGCTCAATAGGAAGTATATGTAAGAACTAAGCCAAGTATCTTAAAAAAAATTATAAGGCCAAAATGTTTTCAAAAATTATATGGCATTATTACTGTACATTATTAATAATATAACTGATAATAAAATTGAATACATGTAAACTTTTAATTGTATGTGGCACAAGTGTTTCAACCAATAAATATTTGCTGCCATCATTGATTATTTACTCTACAACTGCTTAGAAAATTAATGATACGAAAAAAATTCAAGAAAATCGATTTCAATAATTTCTGCATGACTTACCATTTGTAAATGAAAAGGAAAATAGTGACACATATCTCACACCAACAGAAAAAGAACTTAAAAAATTTGAAATGCAAGAAATCCAAAACAAGATTCCATTTATAATTCAGCTCTATTATTTCTCATGTCATTCTAAAAAGTTGATTTGAAATAAATATTCTGAATTAAAATTCAGCCATTTTAATATAAAATAGAATATCTTCTCAATTGAGAAGCTGATATAAATATTGAGGTTCCAAGAAAAATAATAATAACCTTACGAGAGTACATATTGTAGTTGTTTTTCCTGTCCCAGGCATACCCACAATAAGGGTATAGTCTTTTGAAAGAAGAACCTTTTTCATTGCTTGTCTCTGAGGCTTATTCAATCCTACATTTAAAATAAAAAAGTAACAAGAAAAACAGTATTAAATTTCAGGGAATAAATTCACTAATTTAGAAGAAAAGCAATCTCTTTTTTAAAAAATTTTTTTTTTTAATATTTATTTTTTAGTTCTCAGCGGACACAACATCTTTGTATGTGGTGCTGAGGATCGAACCCGGGCCACACGCATGCCAGGCGAGCCACAACCCCAGCCCGAAGAAGAGCAATCTCAATCTGAATTTTCTTAAATATGTCTTTTCAAAGTTAAAAAAATATATAAATCATGGTGACTTTTCTTTTTTTTTCCCGTTTGGTACCAGGGATTGAACCCAGAGAGGCTTAACCACTGAGCCACATATATAGCCCTTTCTGAGACAAGGTCTCACTAAGTTCCTTAGAGCTTTGCAAAATTGCTGAGGTTGACCTTGAACTTGTGGTCCTCCTACCTCAGCCTCCCCAGTCATTAGGATCACAGATGTGCTCCACTACACCCAGCTTTATTATGGCGTTTTTTAAGGATGTATAAAAACTACTTCCAAAAGCCCCTATGTAAATATTAGAATTCCTAGTCTAATCAATTAAGAAATGAGACTATTTCTTGGTTCTTGGTGTAAGTAGAATCAAGAAAAATTAACCAAAGTGCTGATTATAGCATACCCTTTAGAATGTTGGCAACTGTATCCTTTGCATCACGTGGAAGAACAGAGCTGAGGTAGGGTATAAACTGAGGTTCATGAAAGTCAATGATTAAATCTCGAAGTTTTTTGCTGAAAAGGAGATACATACTTTTAGTAATATTTCTTAGAAAGGTGGGGAGAAATTCAGATTCATTCATCATTACAAACCTGGCATTAGTGTTCTCCATCAATTTAGAGAGATTTCCTAAAGGGGTATCTATATCACAATTTTTTTCTTCCTGGTCTATTCTGAACAGAGTTGACTCTGCAAGCACTGACAAGTTCCTAAAACAGCAGAACAAACATACATGAAAGTTCTTCATTTTCCCATGGTCTATATAAGAGATACTGCTATCTGCTAAAAGAGTTGATAAGCTAAGGTCAGAGCAATTAAGAACCAGGAACCTGTAACATTTGTTGAAAATCCATTTGACCCTGCATTGTAACAGGAATTCACCATCCCCAGAAGGTTCTGAGCACCTGGCTCCTCCCTCCTCCAGCCTGAAGAACAGGTCTCCTCCTCCCACTCCTCTATCTCCTCCTTAAACCCTGCTATGGCCTACAGCCCCTTCCTTCCCTAGCCCACTGTACTGCTCGCTCTTAGGATTTCCTTATGGTCCCAGGTCAACATCTTCTAGCCTATCCAAATTTCAGGTTTGAATATTTGCAGGCACCAAGATCTCTTTACCTGGCTAAAACCCAGGCTACAAAAGTTCAATATATTTAAAATGGAACTCCTCATTCCTGTTGAACCTGAGCCTCTCCTCTTGGTGGGATCTCAGTTAACAGCACTTGAATCCTTTCCTCTTCCTCACCCTCTTTTCAGCCCCCATACCTAATCAGCACCTGACTGCGTGACAAACTTACTTTCAAGTTCATCAAAGTCACTATATCTGGTCAATGCTACTTCAATCACAGATAACCTGGGTCATTACAATACCTTCCTGGTTTCTCTTTCATTTAATAAATTCAAATCTCCAACAAGTAAATGCAAGACCAATTACCATGTATTCTTTAAAACCCTTCAGTAGAAGCTGGGCATGGTGGTGCATATCTGTAATCCCAGCAACTCTGGAGGCTGACAGGAAGATCAAGTTAAAAACCAGCCTCAGCAATTTAGTGAGACCCTAAGGAACTTAACAGATCATGTCTCAAAAAAAAAAAAAAAAAAAGAAGGATGGGAATATAGCTCAGTTGGTAGAGTGCTTGCCTTGCATGCACAAGGTCCTGGGTTCAATCCCCAGCACCAACTCAATAATATCCCATCTCTAATAAAATACAAAATAGGGCTGGGGATGTGGCTCAGTCATTAAGCGCCCCAGAGTTCAATCCCTGGTATCCAAAAACAAAACAAAAACAAATGAAATACTGCTACATGCTACAAAATGAAGACGAATCTGAAAATCAATATGCTAACTGACAAAAAAACAGTCACATAAAGACCACATTAGCTGGGCGCAGTGGTGCATACCTGTAATCCAAGTGGCTCAGGAGGCTGAGACAGGAGGAATGCAAGATCAAAGCCAGCCTCAGCAATGGTGAGACACTAAGAACTCAGTGAAAGGGCTGGGGATGTGGCTGAAGAGGTAGCGCGCTCGCCTGGCATGCATGCGACCCAGGTTCGATCCTCAGCACCACATACAAACAAAGATGTTGTGTCCATCGAAAACTAAAAAATAAATATTAAAATTCTCTCTCTCTCGCTCTCTTTAAAAAATAAAATGATTAAAATGGTAAACTGTATAAAGTATAAATAAAATACATATATTTAAAAAAAAAAAAAAAGGCTCAGTGAGACCCTGTCTCTTAATAAAATACAAAAGAGTACTGGGGATATGGCTCAGTGGTTGAGTGCCCCTGAGTTCAAAACCCAGTACCAAAAAAAAAAAAAAGACCATATTAACCTTAATTGTTTGTGAGAGGCCAATTTATAGTAAACTAGCATTGCCTGGGCAGAGGGAATTGAAGGGAAGTAAAGGTACGGGTGACTGCTGAGATTTCTTTTGGGGGTTATGAAAATATTCTGAAATTGCTTGTGGTGATGGTTGTACAACTCTTTTTGTTTTTTTTCCTGGCATTACTGAGTATTGAACTCAAGGTCCTAAACATGCTAGGCAAGCATTCTACCACAAAGTAACATCCTCAGTCTTTTAAAATTTTGAGATGGAGTCTTGCCAAGTTGCTGAGGCTGACCTAGAACTTAAGACCCTCCTGCCTTATCCTTCCAAGTAGCTAGGATTAGAGGCCTTAACCACTGCACCCAGCTATGACTCTTTGAATATATGAAAAACCATGAAAATTGTACACTTTAAATGCATGAATTGTATGATACATGAAATACCTATCAATAATGCTATTATCAAAAATGTACTATTTCATTACCTGTCTAATAAACAAGTTACTGTCGTCATGTTAATCTCCTTCACATATCCCCTAGACAAAGCAAACAGTGTTCTCTCTTCTCCACTTAAAATAATTCTGTCACCTGCCATTAGGTTTGTGACAGGCATAGAACCATTTTTACGCTGGAAATGATGTAAATACTGTCCATCGCAAACTCTCTTTACATGTTCTGTTCTAATCAGGTTTCCGATGCAGTTGCCACTCTCCTCCCTATGAAAGAAAAAGAAAGAAAAGGCTTCCATTTATATCAGGTAAGAATTATGTTTGTATTTTTCTACAATTTACTTCATTTGGCCTCTGAAAACTAATGCTGAGTCTGTCCTTTTTACATTTTTCACAATCTACATTAAAGTGATAGAAACGCTAAACAAACATTGCCTCCATTTTTTAAAAAACTTTTTTGTTGTTTATTGTTTATGTGGTGATGGGGATTGAACCCAGGGCCTCATGCATGCCAGGCAAGTGCTTTACTACTGAGCTGGGCTCTACCACTGAGCCACAACCCCAACCCGCTTCTTTTTGTTTTTTGTTTTGTTTTTGTAGTGCTGGGGATTGAACCCAGGGCCTTGTGCATGCCAGGCAAGCACTCTACCCACTGAGATACACACCCAGCCCCATTTGTTTCTAAGTGATCAATCACCCCTCCTTGTTCCATCCACAGTCTGGGATGTCTGAACAGGGTGTTTATTGGCACATGGATCCTTGATGGATATAACAATACCCCCACATCCTGTGCTGATAAATATAACATTACAGAAGACAAACCATAATAATCTCCTAAACTAGATGTGAAGAAAAGAATAACCGATTTCTTTAGTGTTTATAAGAGGATTTAAAATACTATTATTAAAATAATGATAAGTACTGGGCATGGTGGCACACACCTGTAATTCCAGTGACTCAGGAAGCTGAGACAGGAGGATCCCAAGTTCAAGACCAGCCTCAGCAATTTAGTAAGACCCTGTCTCAAAAATAAAATATGAAAAAAAGAAAGAAAGTGGGGGGGGGGACCGGGAATGTGGCTCAGTAGTTAAGAACTCCTGGGTTCAATCCCCAGTACCCAAAATAAATAAAAATAAAATGACAAGCAAGTTGTCATAATTATACTACTTCTAATAAATAAGTATTTAGCATTTACAACCTCTCAGACATTACTATTAAATACTATACAATCTCAGAAGCAAATTGTTGGCATGTGTACTTGACATATTTGTTATACTTATATAACCTACAACATGAACTTTCTCCACTGTAATGTTTTCTAAATTAAAGCCTAATATTAGGGACACACAGATCCAATTATTTCTAAAGTCACACTATTATCACCTTATTCTAGTAAAACAAAACTGGAATTAATGCAACTAAATTTTACTTACAGAAAAATACTATGTGAAGGTATAAAAATCCTAATAATTTATCTTTTTTTAAATATTTATTTTTTAGTTGTAGTTGGACATAATACCTTTATTTTATGTATTCATTTTTAATGTGGTGCTAAGGATCAAACCCAGGGCCTCACACATGCTAGGCAAGTGCTCTGCCACTGAGCTACAGCCCCAGCCTCTAATAATTTATCTTTCATAAGTGGATGCCACAAGGAAAATGAGATAGACCTTCAGAAAATGTGAATCTGTCTCAAAACAGAAAATATACACTTTTAAAACACCACTTTTTGAAAACTTAAGTAAACAGAACATGGTGTCTCAGGCCCATAATCCCAGATACTCAGAAGGCAGGGGCAAGAGGATTGAGAGTTCAAGGCTAGCCAGGATAATATGGTGAGACCCAGTCTAAAAACAAAAACAAAAAAAGTAAAAAAGCAGTATGTACTCTACCAATATGTAACAATTAACCTTAAGACATACTCAAGTTTGTATGGATATCACTGATGAAAAAGAATTAACAAATGATTTTAAAAATTTCTTTCCAGATATCACAAATATATAATCTCATAACATAGGAGGCTGAAGCAAAAAAGATCTCAAGTTCAAAGCCAGCCTAAGCAATTTAGGACCTAAGCAACTTAGCGAGACCCTATTTCTAAATAAAATATAAAAAGTCTGGAGATGAGGCATAAATAAATAAATCATAATTTTTAAAAAATTTGTATTTATTTTTTGGTACTGAGGATTGAACCCAGGGGTGCTTTACCACTGAGCTACATCCCCACTCCCTTTTTTAAAAAAATATTTTTTGTAGTTGTAGATGGATACAATATCTTATTTATTTATCTTTATGTGGTGCTGAGGATGGAATCCACAACCTCACACGTGCTAAGCGAGCGCTCTACCGCCCCCCCCCAGTCACAACCCCAGCCCATCCCCACTCCTTTTGATTATTTTATTTTGAGGCAGGGCCTTGCTAAGTTGCTTAGGGCCAGTCTTGAACTTGGTGTCCTGCTTTGGTCAACCAAGTTCCTGGGATTACAGGTGTGTGCTATTGAAAGTATATGACCTTGCTAGAGGTGTACCTCAGTTGTAGAACACTTGCCACCTAGCATGTGGGAGGTCTTGTGTTTAATCTCAGTATCCCCAACCCAAAAACAGAGTTAATATTAGTATCTATTCATATACACAGAAAACTAACAATGATTACAGCACATAGCACATGCAGAAATGATGTTCTACTTAGGAACAACTCATTGACATCTGGAGTTTTCATGAACAAATGAAATCACGTATCTTTAACATGCCATGTAACCTATATGTGTCATGAATTCCACATCCCACACAAGCTAATACAAATTAATGACACTTTACTCAAATAGACCACTTACATTTCTGAAGCAGGCTTTAACCAGATATTTTGGTAATTCTTTCTGTTATCTTTTGATTGTGACTCCAGGGTTAACATTAGATACCAAAGGCTGAAATACTCTAAGTGTGTGAGTTTCAGATGACAAGTTTCTTCTTGAATTTTGGACAGCATAACCACTGGGACTGAATTTTCATCCATCTGTTGTTCAACTGCTCTAAATACAAAGTTCCAAGTTAGAGTTGTATATATAACATTTTACTACTTGGCTATAAAATGAGGTTTTTCTAAAATAAGTATACAAATGTAATAACCACCATAACTCATAAACACAGCCCCTAATTAAACGTCATTTGAATATTTGATAAAACGTGGCTTTTTTTTGGGAGGGGGTACTGGGGGTTACACCAACAGGTGATTTTCTTTTTCTTTCTTTTTTTTTTTTTTTTAAGAGAGAGAGAGAGAATTTGAACATTTATTTATTTTTTCTTAGTTCTTGGTGGACACAACATCTTTGTTGGTATGTGGTGTTGCTGAGGATCGAACCCGGGCTGCACGCATGCTAGGCGAGCGCGCTACCGCTTGAGCCATATCCCCAGCCCCCACCAACAGGTGATTTTCAATGAGCCACATCTCTAGCCCCTTTTAAAGTTTTGAGGTTTGCTAAGTTGCCAAGGAAGGTCTTGAACTTGCAATCCTCCTGCCTCAGCCTGCCAAGTTGCTGGGATTATAGGTGAGTCACCACACCCAGCAGACATGCGGTTGGTCACAAAACAACATGTTTAAGATATTGATTACTGCATTATTTTTCCTTCAATGATCATCCCCAAACAACAAAGCCAAGTTTGGTATACTCCAGTCTTCATTCTCGTACATAAGTTTTGGCTTTTTTTCCAACTGCATTTCTTGAAACCATAAAAATTGTACACCCAGCTCTGTAACATAAGGAGGTCAATTTAAAACTATGGAAAATCATTTGTAGATTCAATTTTCCTTACTATTGAATTAAAACATTTCCACATAGAAACAAATATATTAAAGGACAGCATACAAAAGATTGAGAGTAAAACGAAAGATTTCAAATAAACTGGGCTGTACTATAGTCCCAGACATCCCACACAGTACTCTGTCATTAAGGGACATATTGACACAATACTTTTAAAACTATTTTTTTAGTGCATAGTTCTATACTTTATTTCTTTTAATTAATTTACTTATTCTAATTAAGTATATATGACAGCAGAACGCATTTTGATTCATTATACACAATTGCAGCACAACTTTTCATTTCTGTGGTTGTACATGATGTAGTGTCACACTATATAGTCATACATGTACCCAGGGTAATGATGTCCATCTCATTCCACCATCTTTCTAGCCCCCATGCTCCCTTCCACCCCCTCCTTCCCCTTTGCCTAATCAAAGTTCCTCCATTTTTCCCATGCCCCTGTCATTATGGATCAGCATCCACTTATCAGAGAGGACATTTGGCCTTTGAATTTTTGGGATTGGCATTTCGATTAGCATGATATTCTCCAACTCCATCCATTTACCTGCAAATGCCATAATTTCATTCTCTTTTAATGATATATATATATATATATATATATAAAATGTAATAATATATATAATATAAAGAAACTGTGATATATATCATAGTTTCTTTATTCATTAATTTATTGAAGGGCATCTAGGTTGCTTCCACAATTTAGCTATTGTGAACTGAGCTGCTATAAACATTGATGTGGCTGCATTACTATAGTATGCTGTTTTTAAGTCCTTTGGTTATAGACTGAGGAGTGGGATATCCGTGTCAAATAGTGGTTCCTTTCCAAGTTTTCTAAGGAATCTCCATACTACTTTCCAGAGTGGCTGCACCAATCTGCAGTCCTACCAGCAATGTATGAGTGTACCTTTTCCCCCACATCCTTGCCAACACTTACTATTATTTGTATTCTTTGTAACTGCCATTCTGACTGGAGTGAGATGAAATCTTAGAGTAGTTTTGATTTGCATTTCTCTAATTACTAGAAATGTTGAAGATTTTTTCATATATTTGTTGTCAATTGTCTATCTTAAAATACTTTTAAAGTTCATACTTCATATAAACTTTCAGGCTGCATTAGAACTTTGGCTCTGGTTTGACCTTGTTTCTTAGTCTATATTTACATCTAACTACTTTTTTGTGTGCTTCAAATTTTCAGCTAGCCTATGAAGGCCCACATGGCTGTTCAAATAACAGCTAATAAACTTACCATTTATACAAAAATAACCATATACAAACAGTACAGGCCCATTCACTGGGTCATGCCAAACTATCCATCTGGAAAAACTGGTTTCCTTGTGTGCAACTACAAAAGACCTCAGATTAAAATAGCAGTTAAGAGGGGATACGGCTCAAGCAGTATCGCGCACGCCTGGCATGTGTGGGGCGCTGGGTTCGATCCTCAAATACAAATAAAATAAAAATGTTGTGTCCACTGAAAACTAAAAAATAAATGTAAAAAAATTCTCTCTCTCTCTCTATTAAAAAAAAAAAAAAGAAAAGAAAAAAGAAAGAAAGAAATGGATGCCTTCTTGAACTATCTTTTAAGATAACTTAGGCCCATGCCCATAATCCCAGACTGAGGGAAGAGGATCACAAATTCAAAGCCACCCTACACAAACTCAGCAAAATTTCAAAATAAAAAATAAAAGGGGCTGGAGATATAGCTCAGTAGGTTAGATTCCCCATATTGTCAAAGAACAAAAGTATTTGTACTTATATTGTACTAAAAATGAATATTCTATATCTGTCTTAACCAGATTCCATAAGTCCTAAAATTATTTCATTTCAGAAACTATACACAGAAAGATTAAAACATTCAGTTTTGGAAGAAGTTTAAAAAGCACTGTATTATTTACTGAGAAAAATGGGCTTCTCAGGAAACAAACTTTTTTCCCCTTTCATTTTAGAGATACAATACATAAAAGAAAATATGAAATAAAAATAATTAAAATGAAGTCATCTATTGTGTGCATGTTCAAATATGTAACAACAAATTCCATCAATATGTACAACTACAATGTACCAATAAAAAATGTGGACAAAAGAAAATTAAACAACAAAAAAATGAAATCATCAACACCAGACCACCTACCAATACTAAGTCATCTTGAGTTCAGTTCATTTTCAACTTGAAATACTGCTTTCTGAAAATAGTGTTTACCTGCTATAAAGAGCACAGTTTCCCACTTGTGAACAATATTTACAGGTTTTCTCTTCCTCAATTACTTGTGGCAAAAAAGTGAGCTGTGTCTTCTCCTTTCCAGGAGATTTGCTAATACGATGCAGCAAAAAAAATGCCATTTGGTTTCTTAGCTTTAATAATTCTATGGGAGAAAAAACAAAAAGCTAAGTGTCTTTATCACACTCTTTCCATTGTATCAGTAAAAGTTCAGATTTAACAACGTAAAATAACATTCACAGTTCCTGCTATACGAGAATAAGCACTGTTGGTTATATTTTGTTATGTCTCCTTCAAATTTTTAGTCACTTGATAAGTTCTTGAAACAACTAATCTCATAACTAATAAGACTTGAACCTTGTGTTTTATTAGGTGAATGCTGAAGATAAAGTTATCTAGAATATCTCCAGTATAAGAACTTCAAGATAAACTTTTATATTAAAAAACAAACAAACTTAAAAGGTTAATAATTTTCAACTATAGAGCATATTATTAAAATTATCTTAAAAATACTACAACTACAAATTACAACCTATAGTTGGCATGATAAGTATGTGAGTACACTGTCAGGTGTAAAACTATATCACCAAAAGTTGAAGGGAGGGAAGGGGCCAGAGAATTAAAACTGAAAGCAAACAGCTCAACCTCTTTTATCTAGATGGTTAGCAGGCACAGGGTACATCTGCCCAGTCTTGAGGTAGAGAAGTAAGCCAGCCTCTGGATCAGCTCTTCTCTCTTGGCTTAGCAGCGTGTACAGAACAACCTGTGCAAGACAGGTTGTCAAACAATGAGAATTCTGTTACAGAAATTTCTACCATCATTTCTCTACATCATCTTATGGCCAACACATAATTTTAAAATCTAAAGGTCAATGAAAGTGGGAGTGGTGGCAATTGCCCAAAATCCTAGCTACAGAGAGCCTGAGGCAGGAGGATCTCAAGTTTCAAAGCTAGCTTGGGCAACTTAACAAGGCCTTCAGCAACTTAACAAAGACTCTGTCTCAAAATATAAAATAAAAGCTGGGTGGTGGTGCATGCCTATAATCCCAGGGGTTTGGGAGGCTAAGGCAGGAGGATCATGAGTTCAAAGCCAGCCTCAGTAAATAATGAGGCCTTAAGCAACCCAGTGAAACCCTGTATCAAAATAAAGTACAAAAAAGGGCTGCGGATGTGGCAGCACTGGGTTCTATTCTCAGCACCACATAAAAATAAATTTAAAAAATAAGGATATTGTGTCCATCTACAACTAAAAAAAATTTTTTTAAACGGCAGGGGGTGGGCTGGGGATGTCTCAGTGGTTAAGCGCCCATGAGTTCAATCCTTATGATCAAAAAAAAAAAAAAAAAAAGATTGAAACCAGAAAGGGTTTGGGAAGTAGCTCAGTGGTAGAGCACCCCTGGATTCAAACTTCAGTATCAAAAAAAAAAAAAAAAAAAAAAAATTAAATAGTTTCATGATAATTAGGTTTAGAAAAAAATGAGTTAAACCTAGCTAAGACAAACTATATTACTTTATAATTCCTCAGAACTTTCTTTTTTATTCTTAAGTTTTAGGTGGTCACAATATCTTTATTTTACATTTACATGGTGCTGAGGATCGAACCCAGTGCCACATACATGCTAGGCAAGCACTCTACCACTGAGCCACAACCCCAGCCCCTTCTCAGAACTTTTAATAGGCTAATACACATGGTAAGTTATCCAAATACCTTTGGTTTCCACAACTTACATGAATAAGGAACTACTGATTTTCAGAAATATATTTAGACTAGTAATTTGGCAGCATCAATTTGGCATCACTGGCCTATATATTTAGCTCTTTTATTACTTTGCCAGATACAGTTTTCTACGGCACTTGTATATATTGACAAAACAAACTGAGTACTCCAATGCATCACAAATTAAAAGTTATTACATGAAACACAAACATAACCTAAACTGAACCAAAATATAAAAAGCAGTCTACATGTTTAAATAAACATTCAGGGGCTGGGGATGTGGCTCAAGCAATAGCACGCTCGCCTGGCATGCGTGTGGCCCGGGTTCGATCCTCAGCACCACATACAAACAAAGATGTTGTGTCTGCCGAAAACTAAAAAATAAATATTAAAAAATTATCTGTCTCTCTCTTAAAAAAAAATAAAGAGTATGTTCATGCCAAATTATTAAAAATAAATAAATAAATAAACATTCGGTTGTGCATAGTGGCATATGTCTATAATCCCAGCTATTAGGAAGGCTGATGCAGGAGGATTCCAAATTTGAAGCCAGCTTCAACAACTTAGTGAGATCCTGTCTAAAAATGAAATTTTAAAAAGTGCTGGGGATATAGCTCAGAGGAAGAATGCTCCTGAGTTCAATCCCCAAATAATCAATCAAACAATCAATCAATTTACATTTAATTTTCTTACTATTTATACCTGACTACGGTGTTCAATAGAATTGGATTCTTTGCCGGTTTTAAGTTCCAATGGCATTATTTTATATTTTGTTTTAGAACCTTGATGTATTTTCACACCAACTGTAACATCTATTTTGCCCTTCAATCCAAACCTAGGGGACCAAATGCTTTCTTCAATATCCAGTGAGTTTATTACTTCAATGTTTTGTGTTGAGTTATTATTACTACCATCACTTGGCCTAAAAAAAAAACAAAACAAAAAAACAATTAGGAGACAGCTTACTTCACGCATGCTGGCACTGACTTTACATAGAAATGACAAGGGGATGGGAGAGAATCTTTTTTATTTTTTTTGTAATTTATTTTTTAGTGTAGTTTGACAGAATACCTTTATTTTATTTATTTATTTTTATGTGGTGCTGAGGATTGAACCCAGGGCCTTGAGCATGCTAGGCAAACGCTCTACCGCTGAGCATAACCCCAGTAATCTACATATCTTTATAGCAGCATTATCCAAGTGTCACCCTTGAACCAGTAGCATCAGCATTACCTGGAAACTTGTTATAAATGCAAAATAACTGGTCCCACTCCAACTGACTCATTACAGAACCAGCAAACTATTTAACAAATTCTCCAAGTGATTCTGATGTATTCTTCAGTTTACAGACCTCTATTCTACAGGTATCATTTAGCCATTCTTTTGTTTATTTATTGGTAATTGGGCACAATGTCTTTATTTATTTATTTTTATGTGGTGCTGAGGATCGAACCCAGGGTCTCACACACGCTAGGTGAGCACTCTACTGCTGAGCCACAACCCCTGGGCAAGTCTTAATATTTATTATCTGTCCATTTAAGTTCATGCCTACTGGGCTGGGGATGTGGCTCAAGCGGTATCGCGCTCGCCTGGCATGCGTGTGGCCCGGGTTCGATCCTCAGCACCACATACAAACAAAGATGTTGTGTCCGCCGAAAACTAAAAAAAATATTAAAAAAAAAAAAAAAAGTTCATGCCTACTACAATCTTCTTTACTAGAGACTTTATCTTCTCAGGCCTATATTAATGCAAGTCTCATTATTTGGACTACTGACCCACAAAACCAACTGATAAAAAAAACTATTATACTAATGAATACACAATGGCTGGTTAGGGGCATGCTCTTTCATTTAATACCATATTAAACTGGGTAAGAAGAAACTCTCTCTTTTGACCATCTATGAAGTACAGGCTTTGCTAATCTCACACTTCACCGCACATATACCCATGTGAGAAGGTGCACCTATAATTCCAGCTACTTAAGTGGCTGAGGTAGGAGGATTACAAGTTTAAGGCCAGCCTCTGCAAAGTAGCAAGACTCTGTTGCAAAACAAAACATAAAAAGGGCTGGGGACATAGCTAAGTGGTAGAGCACCCCTGTGCTCAATCCTAGTACCAAAAAAATTCCAGCTGTTAGAATAAATGATTTAGTTGTTTTTAGTCTTTGGTTTCATATTACTGAGGTCAACAGGTATTTAACAAATGGGGTGGGATGCTGACTTCAACAATTTTTCTTAAACTGCTTTAAGATGCTTCAAATATAATCTCGAGGAATATATATATACACCAGAATTACTTAAGAAGACAGTTGTGGAAATCAGGGAAGCCACAATTTATAACAAATTCCTTAAATTTTAATCTGATATTAAATGTTCTCTGATCATGCCATGTACTCAAATATATTTTTATAAGATGGAGCAAAATTTATTATTTGTCAAATTTCACATGTATACCTAATAAAACACAAGTAATTAAATTCTAAAAGTTCTTACGTGGTAGTTGTAGATCAGTGATAAAGTGCTTGCTTAACATGCACAATGCCCTAAGTCTAGTACCTAGCATTGCAAACAAGACAACAAAATTACTACTAAAAAATTACTACTTGGGGCTGGGACTGTGGCTCAGCAGTAGAGCGCTTGCCTAACACGTACGAGGCCCTGGGTTCGATCCACAGCACCACATAAAAATAAATAAAATAAAGATATTGTGTCCAGTTACAACTAAAAAATAAATATTTTTTTTAAAAATTACTACTATTAGAAAAAAGGCAATATGATTTCAGTTTAGACCCTTCAAGCTAATGACAGTATTTCAAATGAATTATTCTGATTTCTTATTTTGGTACTGGGGATCGAACCCAGAAATGTTTTACCACTGAGCAATTCCCCCATTCCTTTTTATTTTTATTGTGACATGGGCTCTCTCTAAAATGCCCAGGCTTTCCTTGAACTTGAAAATCCTCCACTCTCAACAGCTGGGACTACAAGTGTGTACCACTGTACCAGACTCTTTAAATGGTTTTTAGGGGCTGGGGATGTGGCTCGAGCAGTAGCACGTTCGCCTGGCATGCGTGCAGCCTGGGTTCGATCCTCAGCACCACATACAAACAAAGATGTTGTGTCCACCAAAACTAAAATAAATAAATAAATAAATATTTAAAAATTTAAAAAAATAAAATAAATGGTTTTTAAAGGTCCCACTCTTTTTTATATTAAAAAAAAAAAATTTCAAGTTATGGAAGTTCCTTTGGTTTTGGTTTTTTCTTTGGCAGTACTGAGAATTGAACCCAGCAACACTCTACCACTGAGCTGCATTGCTAGCCCTTTTGTTGTTTTGAGACAGAGTCTTGCCGAGTTGCACAGATTGGCCTCAAACTTGAAACCCTCCTGCCTCAGCCTCCTCACTATAAATATATGAAAACTATATAAGTAAAATTCATTTCTGGGGCTAGGGATATGGCTCAAGTGGTAGCGTGCTCGCCTGGCATGCGTGCGGCCCAGGTTGGATCCTCAGCACCACATACCAACAAAGATGGTGTGTCCACCAATAACTAAAAAAATAAATAAATATTTAAAAAATTCTCTCTCTCTCTCTCTCTCTCCCTCTCTTTAAAAAAATAAAATAAAATAAAATTCATTTCTTACAGAGAGAGCTGCATTTGAGGGAAGTCAGTTGAAGTACTCTGATGCATGAAATCTCCAGCCCACTTAGAAAATGAAGGAAGATACTCCTCTACTTCTTGTTTTACTTCATCTGGTTTCAGATTCAAGCGGTACCTGCCAAAAATAAGAGATAATAAATACAAAACCATAGATCTAAGAAATGCAAATTAAATAAGGTCCAAAACATCCAAATAGGTAATTCACATGTCCATTTGCTAATGAACAGATAAACAAAATGTGGTATATATACACACACACACCGAAATACTGTTCACCTTTGAAAAGGAAGAAAGGTGAGGAGCTAGGGATACAGTCAGTGGAAATGCAGATGGTCAGCATGAATAAGGGCCTGGGTTCAATGCCCAGGACCAAAATTAAAGGGGGCGGAGGATTCTGACACCACAGTGTGGATAAACTTTGATGACATTATACTAAGTGAAATGTCAGTCACAAAAGGACAAATATGAATGTTTCCACTAATATGAGAAACTAGAGTTGTCAAAATCATAGAGACAAAAAGTAGAACAGGGGCGGGGGTTGTGGCTCAGTGGTAGAGGGTTCGCCTAGCACGCGAGGGGTGCTAGATTCAATTCTCAGCAATAAAATAAAGGTATTGTGTCCAACTACAACTAAAAAACGAAATATTAAAAAAAAAAAGTAGAACAGTAGTTCTGAAAGGAAGGAAGAATGGGGTTGTTGCTTAGTGGGTACAGAGATTCAGTTTGGGAAGAAAGGGTTTATGCAAATGAATGGTGGTGATTGCTGCACAACACTTTGCATGTACTAGATACCTCTGAACTGTATATATACTTTTTAAATTTTTGTTTTAGTTGTAGATTGACACAATCTTTATTTTATTTATTTTACCACTAAGCTACTACCCAGCCCCTGAACTATATATTTAAAACTAGTTACTATGGCAATTTTTATATTATATTTATTTTACCACTGAGCTACGCTACTACCCCAGCCCTGAACTATATATTTAAAAATAGTTATTATGGCAATTTTTATGTTATATGTATCTACCACGTTTGAAAAAACCCAAATAACAGTGACATGACATCTAATTTCACAGTATTTTCTCTAATTCAACCATCTCAGTTTAACTAGAGGGATCAGTCCCAATAATATCTTTGGGATAAAAAAGAAATTATAACTTTAGTTTTAAAAGATACTGGTCCAGAAACCAAGTAATGAAAAACAAAAACATGCTGGAGTTGTAGCTCAGTGGTAGAGTGCTTGCCTAACACGTGTGAGGCATTGGGTTCAAACCTCAGTACCACATAAAAATAAATAAAATAAAGAATTCTGTCCATCTACAACTAAATAAATACATTATATATACATACATACATACATATATATATATATATAAACATTAAAGAAGGAAAAGATCATATGAAAAGAAAGCTAATATAAGCCTCACTACATCAAAGTGCAATCTAGGTTGGGCACAGTGGCACATGCCTGTAATGCCAGCTACTGAGGAATCTGAGGCAGGAGGATAATGAGTTCAAGGCCAGCCTGTCTTTAAGTTAAATTAAATATAAAATAAATGGGTTAGGTGATAGCTCAGGGTCTTTAAGTTAAATTAAATATAAAATAAATGGGTTAGGTGATAGCTCAGGGTAGAGCACTTGCCTGGCATGCAAGTGGCCCTCCCCAGCACCAAAAAACAAAAAAATACAAAATTTCAGGTAGCAATTTTATTAAGGGAGCAGCCAGATCATATGTTTGTAATCCCAGTGACTCAAGAGGCAAATGTAGGAGGATCATAAGTTTGAAGCTACCCAGGGAAGCTTGTAAAGACCCTGTCTCAAAATAAAAAATAAATTAGGGCTGGGGATGTAGTTCAATGGTAGAACACCTCTGTGTTCAATCCCTAGTACTGGAAAAAAAAA